AGAGAGAGAGAGAGAGAGAGAGAGAGAGAGAGAGAGAGAGAGAGAGAGAGAGAGAGAGAGAGAGAGAGAATAGTGGGTGTTCCCCTGGGACCCTGATCTAAGTACTGAGTAAAACTGAGGTAGGAGGTGTCTGAGATAACTATCTCTATAGTATCGAAGAACTGCTTGTACGGAAGAGGTTCTATACAGGGTTATGTATAAGGAAGAAGATAAAAAAAAAGAATTCATTTTTTTTTGTTTTTCTTTCTTTCTTTCTTTTTTTCTTTTTTTTCGCTTTTGCGCTCTGATATTCTTGTGATGATATATATTGTGACGATATATATATACACATACATACGCACATTTATATGGACATATATAATATACATATACTCGTCAGCGCTCAAGGGGAAAGCCCGTATAAGGAGGAACGTCCTTAGCAAGCTGTCTGAGCTCCTCCGCTTCCTCGGGCGTGATTTCCCATCCTACTGCCCCAGCAAATTCTTTAGCCTGTTCTGCCGTCTTTGCCCCAGGGATGGGTACTACATTCCCCTGTACCAGCAGCCAGTTTAGGGCCACTTGAGTGGGGGTCTTGTTGTACTCCTCCCCCAATTTCTTTAATCTGTCGATCACAGGGGCTGCTTTTCTCAAGTAGTCTGGCCTGAAGATCTGCCCTCGGGGTCCCGATGGTGGTCGCTCCGGTGTATACTTCCCACTTAGCACTCCCTGTGCTATTGGAGAATAGGCAATGAGAGTAACCCCCAACTCGTCGCAGGCAGATTTCACCCCACTGGTCTCTGGACTGCGGTATAGAAGGTTGTAGTGGACCTGATTGGAAGCCAAGGGAATGGCGCGCTTTGCCAGGGAGGCGTGCACCGCTCTCATCCTGCTAGCATTGTAATTGGAGACCCCGACTGCGCGAACTAACCCTGCGTCGAACACGTCAGCCAGGCCATCCCAATAGGCTTCGTTCTGCCATATCCCGGGCCAGTGAAGCTGATAGAGGTCGATCTTGTCTACGCCAAGACGACAGAGAGACGCCTTAACGGCGTCCATTACCGACCCTCTGCCGAGCCTCCAAGGAAGTGCAGCGAACTTGGTCGCAATCACGACCTTCTCCTCCTCCTCCTCCTCGTCGGTGTTGGCGGCGATGATTGGATCCTCGGAATTTCCGTTGACGGCGGCCAAAAGAGCTCGGCGCGCGGCGCGCTTTCTCTCCTTCCTCTCCTTGATGAACTTTCCAAGAAGCCTCTCTGATTCTTGCCCGCCCTGTGTTCCGTACACCTCGGCCGTGTCGAAGAAGTTAATCCCGGAGTCCATCCCGGCGTCGAACGCTTGTCTTACCGTCTTCACTTTTCTGTCATCCCATTGCCCTTCGTTCCAGAAGAAGCGGTCCCCCCAGGCCCATGCACCGATACCCAGCTTTGGGACCACCACCGGGGAAGAACCGAGCTTAACCAAAGAAGAAGGGTCGGTGAGTACCGAAGCCGGGGCGTCGGTGACGGGTCCCTCCGGCGTCGTCGCCAATGTCGCACAGACGACACTCCTCTGCCACCGCTGCTTGTTCTGTAACCGATCAAAACAGGAGGAGGAGGAGGAGGAGGAGGAGGAGGAGGAGGAGGTGGTGGAATGGAGTTTGAACGTGGCGGTTCTCGCCCAGCCGGAAAGTCCCGACTCACTCAAAGCTTCTGCGGCTGATGACGACCCCTGGCGTAGGTCTCCCAGACTGCAGGGGTAGCCGCAGGTTAGCCCCGTCGTTCTGCCAACGACACTCGCCATAGCTATGGCACCTGCCATCGCTTTTTTGTCTCTCCTTCTCCCTCCCTCTTTCTCCCTCCTCTGCTCCCGTTTGTTTGCGCCCCGGTCTATCAAACCGTGTGCTTGTGCTTGTATCAGTAGTTCGTGTGCATGTGCATGTGCATGTGCATGTTCGTGGGTCAACGTGGACCCTCACATGCGTTTATGTGCCTTTGCATCATCATTTGCATGGCTGTGTGTGTGTGTGTGTGTGTGTGTGTGTGTGTGTGTGTGTGTGTGTGTGTGTGTG